ACTACAGTGGGGAGTTTTTTAGAGGGAAATTTATTGAATAAAATAATTATAAATATTTTAAATTACTTATAAATGTTTTAAAATATTTTTTAAATATTATTTTAATATTTTTTAATATTATTTAATATTTTCAATTAAATTTTAAATATTTTTAATAATTTTTAATAAAATTTAATCATTTTTAATAATTGTTAATAGTTTGCAATCATTTTTTAAATATTGTATATAATTTATAACAATTTTTAATAGTTTTTAATAATTTTTAATAATATTTTACAATTAAAAAACACTTATTCTTTATTTTAAATTTTAATTTAATTTATTTTGCATTAATATTACCTTTATAATTCACTCTTAATTTAGAAATTCTTATTTAAACATATTTTCTTAGTTCCAATTTCAATTCTATTTTTTAAATTTATATAGGTTTTCCATTTAAATCCCCACTGTAACCCCATTAAACACCCGCCTTCGACTTCGACTGCTGCTGAATGCTTTTATGACAACTCAATTTCGAAACACACTTTAGTTTGCCAGCCTCAACCATGACTGTCTGCACTTTCCTCACAACACCCCTACCACCCCCCCACAATTTTCCAGTGCCCTGCCCCAAGGATGTGTGGCACCTAACCTGATCTACAAGCAAAGTTGAGGAGTTTTCGTGGGCAACACACAAAACGCATAAATTTATGTCAAACATTTGTGAGGCGTCTCCACTTCCTCGGAAAGAGGGAGGGTAGTTCGGGGGGGCGACCAACAAATTTATTTGGACTTTTTAACAACTTTTGGGTGTCTCTCTTGCTCTCCCTGTGTGTGTGTGAGCTAAGGTGTTGGCACAACCTTTGTGGCACTCTCTTTCTCCTGTTCAGTTTGCAAATATTTTTTATGCACCACGACACAACATTCAAAGAGGGACTGGGCCATAAACTACTCGCAAATTTCTGGGCGGAGTTGAAATGGTGGCCACTTTTGTTGATTGCACGAAATATTCAGAGGGGCCTAAAAAATATATAGTTGAGTTCCTTAGCAAAACGTGAGCGCCACCTGAAAGTTATATATTGCCAATAAAAAATATTATAAAATCAAGAGCCTATAGCACTCGCTGTCTGCACCATTCTTGGCCAACTGTTGATTCTTCCGAAGCCCAAAGAGCCGAAGAATGCACTGGGAAAGTGCAGCAAATCAACATGTTGCCAGCGGAGAGAAAGCTTAAGGTCCTTCGAGAGTCCTGCTGAGAGAGAGAGAGAGCGGAACTTACTGGAATTGAAACAGACTCTCTCTCGGAGAGTTAGCCAGGATTGGGGCAAAAAACTTGGCTAAAACCGAGCGCCCACGATTTTGGCCCCAAAACAAGATTTCGTGGACATTCGTCTTCGTGAGGTGTTTATGCTCATAAACAAGCAGCTTCGGCTGACCCCAAAACATAAATAAACCAAAATGCAGAGAGAATGGTTATAAAATAAATAAATGGAACAAGCGTATGAGGCGAAATTAATAAATAGTTATTAAATAATATTTTATGTGGGTCAATAATTTTTCATTTGAAATAATATCATCTTGTATTTGTATAAAGCTTTTATTTGTAGCTTTGTTTTAATTTAAATTTAATTTTTTAAATAATATTATCTCTGGCAAGAAAATGAGAAAACTAAATAATTCAAAGCAAGAAAATAATATAAAATTAATTTAGGAACACATAAAAATGTAAAATAATATAAGAAAAACGTAAATATATTCCTAAATATAAAAACAAAAATTTAAATATAAAATTTTATATTTTAAAAATTTTGAAAAGGGTTCAATTAAAATATGAGCGCATAAAAATATTTTCTATTTTTGTAAAAAAAGCTGTTTAATTAGATCTTTCTCTAAAATCTTATAAATATCAGACCAAAAGTATGCAAATCAATTTCCAGGAACCCACTTAAAGGTACCTCTTTTTTGTAGCATACTTTTCTACCCAATTTAAATTGATTTCAAATCTCTTGCTATTTTCGAAATATTTTCAAAACAATTTCAACCACTTGAGCTCAAAAATCAGGCCTAGGACAATTTGTTGTTCGTTTTGGGGACATCTCCCTAGAGTCCCTAACCTACCTCAATAGTCCTGAAAACTTGCTCTCACTTTCCATCTTTCTCTCTCTCTTGCCGAACTTGCTCTCCTTTGGCAACATGTTGCCAAAGGCTCTCTCTCACTCTCTCCAAGCGCAGCCGCCTCGGCAAAATGTTGAACAACCAACAAGGAGGCGAAGTTGCGTCTGTTTCGTTCGCTACACCCGAAGTTCACTGTACTCGGGTCGGGGATCGCATAGACTTCGTGGCACGGACTTCGTTCTTAAGCTAGAACAAAACCGAAATTGCAGTTAGTTGGTAAGAAGCGTTCTGCGGCAACGGGCGGCAAAGCGGAAAAGTCGGAAAAGTCGGGAAAGCCGAACGGAACCGAAATGGCAAATACCTGGTGACCAGGAAAAAAAATAAGGAAAATAAATATAAAAAAAAAAAACACATACCGAAGAAACCCTACGTGAGTGCGAGTGTGGAAAAGCGGAAAAGCAGCAGCGTTGCAGTGGCGGAAACCGCGCTTCGCTTACACTTGTGCGTTTGTAATTATGCAAATTGCCGGGGCCCCAACTCTTTTCGACAAATGGCACTCAAGTGCAACTGTTGCCCCGTTATTTCTGCCACCCCATTCCTGAACCAACACCCCCTGACCTTGCCCCCGGCCGCCGGCCCGGAGTGGAAATCCGCCCCGCAATGTTATGCCGCATGCATATTCATGCCGCCAAAAGCCAGAAACTGGGCCAAAACTACAGAGTGCAACAAAATACGCAAACTGGAAGCAGCGCATGAAAAAAAAAAAAAAACTAGAAAATAGAAAATGGAAAAACTAGGCAACCCAACAAACAGTGACAAACAATTTCTGCTCAATTTAAAGCCGCTGCAAAAGTTGTGCTCCACTTACCTTCGCTCATCTGTCAAATCCGTATAATTTCCTCTTCTTTTTATTTATTTGTCGTATTTTTTTGTGGTCTTGCTCCTCGGCAACTTGTTGTCCTTGGTCTTTGGTCCTTGCTTCTAGGCTGCTCTATACAAATCCAAGTCAGAGCCAGACTCCCAAGCTCTCGTTTTCTCTCTGCAAATAAAATGCAAATAAATTATTTTTATTATTCCACTGTGACAGCTGATTTTGGGGTCCTGAAAAGGCGCATTTCACAATTTTCTTGTGCTTATTTCTTGGCCATTGTTATGGCTCTTGGTATTTTTATGTGTCGTTGAAAGTGGTTTAGCTTAAAGTTTGCTTGGCCAATGCATAAGCGAATTATGTGAGTTATGACCGAGTTATGGCTTAGCTTGAACTTTCTTAAACTTAATGCAGAGATTGAGTGAGATGTGAATTCAAGGAAAGAAAATCACAACAAGTGTTCAAGTTTTGTGCGTCTGTGTGTGTGGTTTTCATTGACGTCTGACTTTGTGACATTATGAAATATGTAAATTGAGTGAGCAATTTGTGTGCAGTTGTACTCGAAGGACCAATAAATTGTCTATTAAATCGTTTTGTGAAAATGTAAAAGCCAATTAAGATAGGAGATAGTTATTCAACATTTTTTGTGGCTATAAATAAAGTTTTTTATAGTTGAGAAAGTGAAGAAAACAATAGATATTTCGAATTCAAAAGCCTTAGCCTTGCTTAATAGCATTTAGATTGGAATAATTGTAGACTAAATGATTTATAAATTAAATATAAAGGAATATAAATATTAAAATAAATAAATATCATGAAATATAAACGGCTAAACGTTTTCTTTATAATAGTTTTGATTAAATGCATAAAGTTTACTGCGTTTTATAGGTTTATTAAGATTTTTTAAATACAAATTCAAGCTTCGAAATATTTAACTTTAACAAACGCTAGCAGATTTTAGTTTTTAAAAATTCAACATACAATTTAGAGCAGTAAAAAAAATTGTTTAAATATATTGTTTAGCTTAAAAGATAGTGTAAATAATTTCTAGCTTGCTTTGTTTTGAATTCAAAATTTTAATTAAATTTTAAAACAATTCAAAGTTATTTTAATTAAAATAAACTACACAAAAAGAAGCCTAATTGTTAAACAAACATAAGTCTTGTTGTTGTATTAAACAAATTTAATTTCTAAATTGAAAAAAAATATTTCAGGAAATAGTAAAAGCTAGGAAGACTTCATTTTTATAAATTTTTAGTGTTTATATAGTAAATATATTTATTTAAAATTAAAATCTCAGCTTCCTAGAACTATTTCTAATACAAAATCCAGATTAATTTCACTTGCAAAAAACACAGTTTAACAACTAAGCTTCCAACTAAAAATAAACAGTCATCATTAATAACTAATAATTACTCAGCATTTAAGTGGGAGTGAGTGACGAGGATTTCCATTAACAATTGGTATCGTCTCGCTTTTCCCTCCCTGTGCCCCTCAGCTCGGTTTTAAATAAATATCCCAGCAATTGGCCGGGCTTGGCCGGGTCGTAGGCCCATTAACCATTTGGATGGGTAGTCCGGCCCCTTGGCCAGGTGAGAGATAGAAGGTGGAACCTAATAAGTTGGGAGCACGCAACGATGGGCCATTTTCGGGCCGTTTGACTGACATGCTGGCCGCTCATAAGTTGCAAACATGAATAAGACATTAGCAGCCGTTTACATGTGTAGAAAAGCCAACTGACTCGCACAATTCCATTTGCAGGATCCATCGTGCTCTCTCTCTCTCTCTCTACATCTCTCTATCTGTCTCCCTCTCTGAAAGTTATTATTATTTGAGAAATATGTTAATTTAATGTCTGGGCCTTGGCCTCCCTTCCTGTTCTTCAGGGCCTCAAATTGAAATGTCTGAGGCCTTAAATATTCATTGCCTACTTCTAGGCGCCTTCCATCTGCATTTTACATGAGTCCATCTCCTTTGTCAGTGTGTGTGTCGCATTTAATTTAATTGAAACATTTAATTACAGTGCTCAGGCATTGCTCGTCACTTGGCTGCACTTCAAGTGCTTGAATATTTCAAAAAGCCTACCTACCTACTCTGGAATTAAAGCGTACAAATAAAAACAATAAAATGGGTCTCGGGATAATCGTTGGCGTGCTGCATTTCATCAAAATTGCATTGCCATTGTGACATTAAAATGCAATTTGTGTTGTGACTATCAAACTGTGCCCTCTTTTTCGGCGGATTAATATTTCTGTAAATACCAATTGGCCGGCAAACAGCTGCCGCAAACGCCAGACAAGCAGCAGAGCACCCAGGAAAATAAAGGAAACCCCCAGGAAACCCAGAAAAAAACAGAGGAGAAAAAAATAAAAATACATCAGCAACACAGGCACAGCCAAACATGTCGACCATAAAGCTGCTCATTATCGGTAAGTTTTATCTCACAATTAAACAGAAACAAAAGTGGAAAAAAAAAATGTGGAAAAAAAACCTTAATGAAGGCAGACTGAGGCAGCGGCGGCTGTGGTTTGCTCGGACTTTTCGTTTTATATTTCGCATTTATTTTGATGACCTCTTCCTGAGATTTTAAATATCGGGATTTTGTAAAGAGTTAAAGATAAAGATATTCAACTCTTTGGGATTTTAAATTTATTTAAATTTCGGTTTTTAGATTTAATTTGGGATTAATGCAAATTTATATATAATTTTGAACCTGTTAAAAACGATGTATGACCTTTTCCTAAGATTTTAAAGAGTTAAAAGTTAAAATATTCAAAATATTACTTATATTAATAGTAGTTAAAATATTGAAACATTTGTCAATCCCAAAAATATATTTTTTAAATAATCTATAAAGGGTTTTCTTCATTTACATGTACTTGAAATTATTTTGACATGACCTTTTATGTATAAAAATATTTCCCATACATAAGCACTTAGTTTAAAAGAACTAAAAATATATAATACAAATAAAAACCCAACAAATAACTCTCTTCATATTATTATAATTTCACGAACAAGCTTTCCTTTTCTATTTTCTGAATAAAAATCCCCTGCAATACTTGAAGAACTGCCAATCAGTCTCGTCTTGGCACAAATAAATCTCCTTAAACTGAAAGCAGCTTGCCTTTTTTCCGCCACTTGAGAATATACTTAAAGCCTTTCCCCCCACTCACTTTCCGTGTTCCGTGGGATGTAAGCCCCTCTTAATTGGTAGCTACGCCATATGCACCTTGCATCCTTCTTCCCGCCTGACTGACTTTCACTACCCCGAGTATTCATTTCCCAGACCCTCCCCAACCCCTCAACCAACCTTGGCCACTTGTTATCTGGCCCTTCTGGCGGTTTTCATTTTTATGGTCGCTCTGGGAAATTTCACAATGCCGCAAAAGGCGTTTACGTGTGCCACCGAGAAGCAGGAGAAGGATGAGTGAGCAGTAGGATGAGTGACCATAAACAAAAGACAACGCACCGCCGTCGCCCACTCATCAACAACATCATGGGTAAAATCATCTCCTCCTCCGGCAAGCGTTGAACAAAAATTCGGTTAACAATTCATTTCCGCGCTTTGGGCTTCATAAATTGCTTTTATTAGGCAGGCGCAACGAAAAGTAAAAAATTACCAGGGATAAAGGACGAGTGCGGGTGTGCCTGCCTGCGTATATGGGTAATAATAATATACTTCAAGTTTTTGCATAACAAATAAAACGAATCAAATTAAGAGGTTATAAGGGAGGAAGGGAAGGCAGTGTAACGGATCTCTGAAACAGTGAAAGAAATATTAAAAAAAAAGGAAAAAATATTCATATAAAAATAAACAATATCATTAATTTTCTATTGAAAAAGGCGGAATAAATAAATTATAATTGCATATGTAATATCACAAACAAAGAGTTTTAATTCATCTTTTGTTTGCATAACTGAAACTGTGGAGAAAAATAAACCAAGAGGAAAACAAACGTATTTTTTTAGTAGTTAAAAAATATGAAATACATGAAATTAAGCTGGTTATGAATATAATGTAATATATTTGTAAAATATATAATTAAATAAACAAATAAATACTTAATTTCATTTTCAATTTTCAAAGCAAAAATTAAATTCATATAACAAGCAAAGCTAATGAATCCCTTTAATTAAAACAAAAAAAGGGAATAATAAATATTATAATTCCCAGTGTAATTCAGCCCTCGAGGCAGTGACAAGTTGTGAAGCGGGCGAGTCAGGGCCGGCTTGCTTTTTTTTTTCGTTTGGACCAGGCCCAAACCCTGGCCGAAAGTTGTTGACAGCGCGTCCTGGGCACGCAGGCAATAAAATTCAATATTTCATTAAAACGCACGTTACGCATACGCAGCGTGGCACGGGCCAGGCGGCGGCTCAGGACCAAAAACCAAACCAAACGAAACGAAAATGAAAATGAAACGAAACGAAACGGAAAAAGGCAACCGCAGACTGCGTGATGTTGTTGCTTTTATCACACGCAGGTCCAACGTTCAAATCGGATTCCGTGTTATTAGCACTGGACTCACCACTCTCCCCTTTTTTTTTGCCCCACCAACTCACTTTTCCGCTTTTCCCCTAACAATTTCCATGCACAGAGAAAATAGTTACGCAAATTGGTGGGACTCTGATATGATATCAAAGCGAGGAAATCTAGAGATTTTAGTTTATTAAATGAAAGGGGGGAAAGCAGGTTAACTTTCTGCTATGTAAACAGTAATCATTGCATACTTTTGGGTGTGGTTAAAAATTGTTTTTAAATCTTTGGTAAGAGAAAAAGGAGTAAAAAGGTATAGCTTTTTATAATTAAGACATGATATTACATTTTTAACGATACTAAGCTTATCTCATGTGTTATATTTTATATAAAATGTACAATTTTATTTCTGAATTTCCTTATCATTTTCAACTATTATTTTTCTTCTTGTGTAACCCACTTTTTGATTTGTCAGACAGAGCAAACGCCGACCGAGAGTACTCAAATTTCGCCCACGAATTGAGTCGTTTGTCGCTGTGGATTTCTCACTGACATTCCCCAACTGTAGTGGCTTCCCTCCCTCTTATGCTCCCTCTCTTGCTCTAACCATTTCTCCGTCTCTGACTCCAGATTTGGGTTTGGCTTCGGGTGGCGGCGGCGTTGGTAACGGTGGCCTCTGGTTTTCGGTTAGGCGGCTGCGACGCTGACAGATTATTTGCTTTATTATTCATAAGAACTACAGCCAGCGCCGGGGTCATGAGGCACTGCTGTAATTCATTGTGTTTCCGAGGGGTAACAAAGGGTAGATTGTTACGACTCTATCACAATGAATAGAGGGAGTTCAGTTTGTGCCGGAATACAAGTGCAATTGCATAGCAATTGAGTCGGTTGAGTGGTTCAAGTTAAAAGGAATTCTAAAAATACTTGCCTGCTGAAATTAAAGTTGACTTTTGTTGGGTATATTTTTGAAGTCCTTTAATTTAAGTGTTTCAAATTGTAGTGCTTAATATTTTTTAAATTATTTATTAAAGAAAAAATCAGTTTACTCCCATTTAGGGTCAATAAATTCTCCGTTTCTTATTAGTAAACCTCAGCCTTAAATCTTTCGATGCCTTAAAACCCGGATAATTCTTTAATCCCAAATGCAATTAACATACTCCACCCCCTGCCAGCACCGCGCCAGCTTAATGACCCCTGCAGGGAGCCTCCTCCCTCACGCCGCCCCCTCACTCGCTTCGCCCAATAAAAACATTTAAATGTTTAATCCTCCCGCGAAATGACTTTTACAGGGTGCCCGGCAGTCCGAGCTCTTAGCTCGGCTGGTCGACTCCCCAAGTGGAGTCCTGATTATAATGTAGCTACTCATTTGGATTTATTAATTGCGTCCTGGCATTGTGCGTAGCAAGTAAATTAATTAGCAAATACTTGCTTTAATAATCATTTTAATGGAATTTGTAATTTAATGCGCCTAACGACAGAGAGAACGAGAGTTTTATGTGGAGATTACGAAGGCGGTTCCCCGCCCACCCCCTTGGGCCAGTCTTATTGATTTTCCACCGTAATGAAATCGCCACCCACATTTCCCACCACCCAATGTTTTACTGTCTGAGAAGTCACCGCATGACCAGACCACAATTTGTTTAAGCGGCTTTAAATATTTCAACATGCCAACTTGCCAATCGGGCCATTTGCTAGGCCAGAAAGGAGGTGGCTTCCGGGGGGTCAGGGGTCAGTCAACTTCACTCCACTCGGCCTACGAACCGGACAGTCAATCACTTTATAGAAGTTTTTTATGGCAAACGAGACATTAATTGATGGCCAACGGTGTAGGTGATAAAAAATAAAGGGGGGAGTTTGAATAAGTAAATAAATTAGGGGAAAATATAAAAGCGAAATATAAATAGAAATATATAACTATAATAGACCTCTAAGGTCTGAATAAATTTTAAATAATTTAATTATTTCTAAGAAATTATATTCAAAATATTTGAAAATTGCACAATAATTACATTCGAATTATTTAAAATCTTTAAAATAAATTTATTGAACTCAAAAAATTAAAGAATGCTAGAAATGAATGAAATTATAAATAATTTTTGGTTTTAAAAATTGTTAACAATTTTTCCTGTCCTATTAAAAATATTTCCAAATATTTATAAACCTCTATTTTTAATTTTGAAATATTTTATATATATTATAAAATTTAAAAATGATAATTAAATTTTATTTTCTAAATCAAAACTTTTACAACTCCCCAGGTTTTTTTTTTTTTGCAGACTGCGTAAATAAACCAAATTACGCGTCGTAAAAGCCAATTGAAATTGTTTTTTATTTGCCTTTGCCATTGGCTGGAATATAATTATTTGCGTGCCTGGCCAGTTTTTCCCGCGAACTCCAACTCAAACTCTTGCCATTCGCATTTTACGATTTGATATGCTAAATAGCCGAAAAGTTGGCCATAAATTTTTAAAGCTTTCAATTATAATGACGATAAGCGGCACGTAGCCATGGCACCTCATCCTCCTCCTCCTCCTACAGCTCCTAAAAGCAGATAAGTTTCGTGAGAGTTTGGGAAATATATTTTCCGGCACATTGCACACACCTCGGCGCACACAGGACACAAACTCAAATTGCATAAATTTTCCAAATCCAAAAGCGGGGCGGGGGCGTTGCAGAAGTTTTCCCCCGATAAACGATGCAAATGCTTTAAGACTTGTCATATCATGGCCAACACACACACACACGTGTGTCTGTGTGTGTGTTATCTTTTAATTAAACATGAAAGTGAGTTGGCGAGCAAATTTGCTCAAACACACTGCAAACAGACAAACAAACAAACAAACAACCGCCTGTGGCTCAGGCAAGCGGCTGGCAAACATACAAATCATTAAAAAATCAAGCAAAACAAGCCAAAGAATCGTTGGAAAAGCAAAGCTTAAACAAATTTTTACC